GGGGGTGGTGGCGGTGGGGGCGGGGGGGGGGGGGGCCGCTGCGTGACCACAAGAGTAGGTGTGCACACTGGTTAAAAAAAAAAAAAAAAATGGTAATCTTATGAGAAATACTTCACACACAAGGGCGTGATGCCGTTTTAAAGCCTGTTAAGACACATCCGATATAAAGTTAAAGACTTAGCTTACCTTAGATATAAAAGTCAACACGCCCCTGATCAAAAGCCAAGATTTTGTCATTTGAAAAATGAAACCACGATACATGTGACTACAGAAACAACAGGAACAGCCTACTAGAACAGATTAACTTTACTTAGCGTTCATCAGAGCCATGAGGGAAATATGAACTGTTCCAAATGGCACTCAGTAATAGCACAAATCCTTCAGGCCTTTGCAAGAAAGCAAAATAATGTCAGAAAAGCCTTATTAGAACATCTGAACTTTATTTGCAGTTCATCATTGTTTTTCCTCAGCGACTTAGCCAATTTGTAGGGAATTTTGAACGGTTCGAAATAGCAGTCAGAAATAGCGCAAACCTTACAGGCTTCTACTACAGTAGAAAGCAAAATAATGTCACAAGAGCACTATAGAAAAGCTGAACTTGATTTGGGGTTTATCAGTTTATCAGTTTGTTTTTCCCCAGCCGCTTTCACCACACATTTTGTTGTGTTACATGTTTAATCCAGATTGATGACAGGCTGGGAAGTGCAGACAAACTGGGTCAAAATCATGCCTCTTGTTGGTTTGTGTGAAAAGCAAAGGCAGGAAAATCCTGGCTGTTTCGCCAACGGTGTGGAAACGGATTTGGGGATAGAAGGATTGTCTATGAAATGATCCCAATGAATCATGGGCTGCTTTCAGCACGTGTGGAAACAAAATTCCCATAGAGACAGGCACACATACACACAACACACATTTGTGCGCACCGACGCTGACATATACACACGCGCACACGCGCTCGCGCTTTTCCAACACATGAGAACATCACTGCCAGTTTTCCCACCATTGACCATCTGAACGGCACCTGCTGGTTTTTGCAGGACAGACAGCAAGACGTCAGATTCCACACGAAGGCAACAGTCGGCAGGAAGTGACATCATCGGTTGCCGTGGTGTCCAGCGCCGTGTTGTGTGCGCGGCGGTCGTGTAGGTCCAGCTGGCCCGTATCGGTGACAGCTGGGTGGTTGCCTTCGAAACTGCCACACTACGATGATGATGATGATGATGATGGCAGGCGATTTGAGCATGAGTGCTGACTCATGGGAACCACATTGCTTTCGAAGGGACATGGATTAAAAAAAAATCGTCTGTGAATTTAGTAGAACCAAAAACAAGATTAAAAAACAAAACGGACATAAAACACACGAAGAAGCAGACGTACACGTACACACGCGCAGGTTCCCACACAGACCACACTGTAATATTCACACACAAGCTAATTCACTCTCACACAAAAAACAAACAAACGCACAGATTTACACTCTCTCTTACACACACAGACACGCACACTAAAAAGCACACTTGCGTACGCAAGCACGCTCTCACGCGCACACAATATCACACTTCAAACGAATATATTTATCATCACTCTACCTTGTAGTGTCTATTTTCGCCGAGTGAGAATTTAGTTGGTACAAAAAAGGTAATGTACTTCAATTAATACAACTTTCAAGTTGTATTAGCATTATATTTTTTAAAATATGTAAATTTAATAAATGGTTTAAATGGCGATGAAAATGGTCAAAATGCTCAGTTTTAACTTACACACACAGACACGCACACTAAAAAGCACACTCGCGTACGGAAGCACGCTCTATCACGCTCACACAATCTCACACTTCAAATTAAATTTTTTATCATCAATCTACCTTGTAGTGTCTATTTTCGCCGAGTGAGAATTTAGTTGGTACAAAAAAGCTAATGCACTTCAATTAATACAACTTTTAAGTTGTATTATCATTCTATTTTTTTGAATATGTAAATTTAATAAATGGTTTACATGGCGATGAAAATGGTCAAAATGCTCAGTTTTAGATTTAAATGCTTTATTCAAGTTATGGCATTAACATACGGTAAATCCACAATGTCCATATAATAACATACTGGTGCTAGCGAGCTAGCTAGCTAGCATGAGAGCTAACTAACAAGCTAGCCGGAGAGTTGGACAGCAGCAATTAAATTGGTCCAATTTCCAACTAAATTGGTCAACATATCCCTAAGTAAAACTCAAACCAAAAAACATTCCATTTGTATTTGTACATGAATAACACGCCGCAAGCAATCGGTTTGCTCTGTTACTTTATTGAGTCTGGAGGATAACAGTCAAACATCCTGCATCCTGCTGCAAAATGTTTTATTAGGAATTAAAGGCAGACAAACACATTTGAAAAGAAGTTACAAAAGTGGAGCAGGACCTGTGTGTGCAAACATTTACCGTAGGCGTGTTGGATGCGGTGATGGCAGTTCAGACAATTCAATGAAACATTCAGTGCTTGTTTTGTTTTCGATTCACAATCGGTTTGCTCTGTTACTTTATTGAGTCTGGAGGATAACAGTCAAACATCCTGCATCCTGCTGCAAAATGTTTTATTAGGAATTAAAGGCAGACAAACACATTTGAAAAGAAGTTACAAAAGTGGAGCAGGACGTGCGTGTGCAAACATTTACCGTAGGCGTGTCGGATGCGGCGATGGCAGTTCAGACAATTCAATGAAACATTCAGTGCTTGTTTTGTTTTAGTATCAGTGTGTTTTTGTTTGTTTGTTTTAAATAAACAATCACACTGAAATGCAAAAATTAAACATTTGTAACTCAAATTCCAAGTACCTCTCTCCAAGCAATAAATAAACTTTGTCCACCCTTCAAAGTATTGCACTAGAGTGATCCCGCCGTTGGGTTTCCTTCAAACACTTTACAGGGGTAAAAAATGTACAGTTGTGATTGAAGCTGAATATCTTAGCAGGTCCAAAAAATTAAAACACGATTCTTCATGCTAGCAGACAATAAACCGCCTTGCGTACAATCTTGAGTCCGAAAAAGATGTTAACAGTCAAGTGTCCTCGATCATGTCCGTGGCGTCCTGTTTAAGTCACAATTTTCACTCTTCCTTTTGTTGTACGGCTACAAATGTCCACAAAAAAGAGAGGGGCAGCAGGGAAAGGCCACCATGTTCTCCCCAAAAAACATCTGAGGGTTTGAGAACATTTCTCGTGAAATTCCAGGAGCGTTTCCACAGGTGGGTGGCGATGGGGGATTGAATTTTTATTTCATTTCTTCGTTTTTCGTGAAACAGGAGGACGTGTTGGGATGTTACTCGGTGGGACATGCGTTGCGGTCTTTGCAGCAGAAGTAGTGCACCACCACGCCGTTGGGATATCTGGCAAACGCACTGCGAGACACAAAGACAGTCGCTCGGGAATGTGGGAAGCCGCGAAATGGATGGGTCATGCCATGTCATGTGCCACGTCGCTGGAGCTGCATCCACCAATTGTTGCACCATGGAATCTCGAGCGACCCACTACTAGCATCCAAGTTATTAAAAAGTCACGATGACCAAATGTGTCTTTTTTTTTGAGATCAAATTTGTCAACAAGTGGCTATAAAATATTCTTGCATTTCAACATGAGTGAAAAGTTTACCTGGTTCCTATCTTCTTCTTGCACACTCTGCACGTCTTCTCCTCCGTGATGACACATTTGATTTGCTGGTGGAAGATGCGCTCTTCCTGCACCTGACAGACAAAGACAAAAACTGTCATGTTCAGTTCTGACCCAGAACTATTTATTGAAAGGAAATAAGAACGGATGGAAATTATCAGTCGGATTTCTGTGTTTAAAACAGAAAAAAAAAATATATATATATTTTATTTTAAGGCCATAATGCGCAGCACTAGGTTCCCATGAAATTAACAAGGGCGGCGACCAACTTTTGAAAAGGTCCACAACGGGAGAAGCCGGTCTGTGCTCACCCTGAGGAACTCCGCCTGCAGGAGACTCTTGAGCACCTGGTTGCAGCGTTTCCTCTGAGCCTTCTCCTCAAGCACACTCTCCAAGAAGCCTCGAATCTCGCGGATCTGAGTGTTGGCTGGCAGCAAGTTGATGGCCTGTATACAATTACAATTGAAATAGCAATCAAATCTTGAATGACACTCGTGAATAAAAAACAAATACAGTGCAGTATATTCTATGCCGAGTCCAAAGTTGACACCCCCCGAAATGAATAAATGCGGGTTTCCACATGTTCTACCTTGGTGGTGTTCAACTTGCTGTGGTGCAGCTCCAGGACCTGCAGAGCGGCCTGGAGGTTGGCCTGTGGTTCCGACAGCTCCATCTTGATGGGCCCCAGGCAGTGCGCGTCCGGAGGGGACAGGTACATCCTCAGCAGTGACAGATACACCTGCAGGGCAGGGCGCGCGGCTTTGTGACAACTCTCTTTTGCCATAACGGATTGTTGTGGCTACGCTCCAGGAGTACACGTCGAACTGAAAATGAAAACCAACTCACGTCTTTATCGGCTTCCACGGAGCTGCTGTAATGGCTGTGACAGTATCTGTGGAGAAAAAAAAAAAAAAAAAAAAAAAACAAAAACAAAAAAAAAAAAAAACCACAAAAATATTTTATTTTAAGGCCATAATGCGCAGCACTAGGTTCCCATGAAATTAACAAGGGCGGCGACCAACTTTTGAAAAGGTCCACAACGGGAGAAGCCGGTCTGTGCTCACCCTGAGGAACTCCGCCTGCAGGAGACTCTTGAGCACCTGGTTGCAGCGTTTCCTCTGAGCCTTCTCCTCAAGCACACTCTCCAAGAAGCCTCGAATCTCGCGGATCTGAGTGTTGGCTGGCAGCAAGTTGATGGCCTGTATACAATTACAATTGAAATAGCAATCAAATCTTGAATGACACTCGTGAATAAAAAACAAATACAGTGCAGTATATTCTATGCCGAGTCCAAAGTTGACACCCCCCGAAATGAATAAATGCGGGTTTCCACATGTTCTACCTTGGTGGTGTTCAACTTGCTGTGGTGCAGCTCCAGGACCTGCAGAGCGGCCTGGAGGTTGGCCTGTGGTTCCGACAGCTCCATCTTGATGGGCCCCAGGCAGTGCGCGTCCGGAGGGGACAGGTACATCCTCAGCAGGGACAGATACACCTGCAGGGCAGGCCGCGCGACTTTGTGACAAGGCTCTTTTGGCATAACGGATTATTGTGGCTACGCTCCAGGAGTACACGTCGAACTGAAAATGAAAACCAACTCACGTCTTTATCGGCTTCCACGGAGCTGCTGTAATGGCTGTGACAGTATCTGTGGAGAAAAAAAAAAAAATCGCACTATTTCTACAGAGTGTGTGTGTGTATGTGTACTCACTCCTCAGCCATGCGAGTGTCCTTCAGGATGTGCACATAGATGAAGAGCGCCTGCTCGTGCTTTCCCATGCGACCCAGGAGCAGGGCTCGTTCCTCCAGGAGACCTTGGGAGAGATTAGACATATTGTCACTGTCGGGCAAAATCCTCGGCATTTCAAAATCATTATTCTTCAAATTAAAAAAAAAAAAAAAAAAAAAAAATCCTCTTTCTTAAGTTACCAAATAATGGATAGCGACCACTACAAGGTCCTTTTTGTTCTATGGAAATTATTATTGTCCGTAATGATTCACATTTTCGAGGGCCGAAAGATGAATGAAAACCCACCAAATTTTGCACACGCAGCCTGGGAAAAAAAAAATGGAGAGAATTTATACGATGGTCTTTAAACTTTGGGCGTTTCATCTAATGATGTTCAAGATGAAACGTTATTCGAAGTTTTATTTTATTTTGTTGCATGCTGTTGCCATGGCAACACGAGGGTGTAAACTTGGGCAAAAACTCATGAAACCTTTCACATACATGCAGCGGTGTATAAAAATCAACAATTTAGAGATTTCTTGTGGAATGTAAAAAAATAGCAAACTCGGGCCCCCTAAAAATCTTTTGACAATGCGTCACAAAAATTGGGAAGCATATAGTCACTGTCCTGTGAAAAACACATATGACCATTTTGTCATTTTCATTTTAAATGAATCTGCACACAAACCAAAGTATGACAGCTTATCATTTTCAACAAAACAGGCCTACTCGAACATATCTAACTGACCCATTTTCACTTGTTATTGTCTAAAAACATCGAGACTTTCAATCTTGAGGCAACAAAATACCGTATGGCTCCCGTGGAGTAAAGAAAGATGTGGCGTTGTACAGTTTGAGGTAAAAATGTGTTCCCCCCCAAAAAAAAAAACGTGAACCATATTTGGACATTTCCGATCAACTTTTTTTTTTTTTTTTAACTGTGACACTTAAATGATACATTTTTGCTCTGCTTACCGTCAAAGGGGAAGTCGCTGATGAGTTGCGCCGGCTCGTCTTTAAACTTTGGGCGTTTCATCTAATGATGTTCAAGATGAAACGTTATTCGAAGTTTTATTTTATTTTGTTGCATGCTGTTGCCATGGCAACACACTGTTTGCAAAGCGAAATTATGCAGTTTTTTTTTTGAGGGTGTAAACTTGGGCAAAAACTCATGAAACCTTTCACATACATGCAGCGGTGTATAAAAATCAACAATTTAGAGATTTCTTGTGGAATGTAAAAAAATAGCAAACTCGGGCCCCCTAAAAATCTTTTGACAATGCGTCACAAAAATTGGGAAGCATATAGTCACTGTCCTGTGAAAAACACATATGACCATTTTGTCATTTTCATTTTAAATGAATCTGCACACAAACCAAAGTATGACAGCTTATCATTTTCAACAAAACAGGCCTACTCGAACATATCTAACTGACCCATTTTCACTTGTTATTGTCTAAAAACATCGAGACTTTCAATCTTGAGGCAACAAAATACCGTATGGCTCCCGTGGAGTAAAGAAAGATGTGGCGTTGTACAGTTTGAGGTAAAAATGTGTTCCCCCCCAAAAAAAAAACGTGAACCATATTTGGACATTTCCGATCAACTTTTTTTTTTTTTTTAACTGTGACACTTAAATGATACATTTTTGCTCTGCTTACCGTCAAAGGGGAAGTCGCTGATGAGTTGCGCCGGCTCGTAACTGCTGGAAATATCCAGAAATGACAGCAGCTTGTTTCGAAACTCTCCTAGCTCGCCTTGTTCCATCCCCACCGGCACAGCCGCAACTCCTGACATGAAATTATATTAAAATAAAAATTTAAAAACTTGAAACTAACTGACCGTGTATCAAGTGTGCAAGCCTGTTTGGACTGAGACCTTCCGGCAGCGAGTTGAGGTACTGCTTCATCAGGCCTTGGACCCTCTCCAGGTAGAGCTGAATGAGGGTGTTGTGAAACTCGGGGCCCTTGTCGTCCCACACGTAGATGATGTGTTCCAAGTATGGGATGGCCAGTTCCTTGAAGCCCTCCTTCAGGAAGTTGAGCACCTTGTCTCGCGGCAACGTCTCCACCTCGGTCAGGTCCTCCGTGAAAATCTTGGGAGAGAGAAGATGCTTCTTTGTGAAGATTCGAGGAAATCAACACGTTGCATAAAACGTACCTTCAGTCCATCTTCAGGACAGATCTTCAGCACCCATGGGGAGAACTCAAAGATCATGCCCAGATTTTCAACTCCTGTGTGACGGGAATCACAGCAAAACAAAAAATACATGTCCATAAAAATAAATTTTCGGGGTCACCATTTCCGGATGTCTTCCAAATATAACCTTGTCCCTTTCCAATTGAATTTCACCCACGTCTTCAAAAGACGACAAACAGGCAAGGTTAAATTGTCAAACTCTTGACTCTTCGGGGTCAATATGTCGATTGCTGCCTGTCACATGGTTGACTGTTTGAATTCTTCGTCAAAAATAATCAACGATGTAACCAAGACGAGCGGCCCGGTGGGGCAAGTGGTTAGCGCGTCGACCTCACAGTGCAGAGGTCGTGGATTCGATTCTGGCTCCGGCCTTCCCGTGTGGAGTTTGCATGTTCTCCCCGTGCCTGCGTGGGTTTTCTCCGGGTACTCCGCCTTCCTCCCACATTCCCAAAAACATGCATGGCAGGCTGATTGAACACTCAAAATTGTCCCTAGGTGTGAGTGTGAGCGCGGATGTTTATTTGTCTGTGTGTGCCCTGCGATTGGCTGGCAACCGGTTCAGGGTGTCCCCCGCCTACTGCCCGAAGACGGCTGGGATAGGCTCCAGCACCCCCCGCGACCCTTGTGAGGATAAAGCGAATCGGAAAATGGATGGATGGATGGTAACCAAGACGCTCACCCAGCCTCTGGAGGTACTGCACGGTGCGCTCGTGGCCCTTCAGAGGCGAGTTGGCCTTGGTGGACTGGTCCAGAAGAACCTGCAGAGCTGATGTGAGGAAGAAGAAGAGGAGGAGGAAGAGGGCAAGATATGAGATTGGTCCAAAAAGGAAGCGCTGCGTCATCTGGTTGTCATTACACGCCTAATTGGTGCAGATGGTTCGAATCAGCGGCGAAGTGACGGGAGAATGATGTCACACGACGACAACATGCGCGGGGGGGGGACTCCTTGGAGGTTAAACGGATCCTGATGGCCGAAAATAAAGTGTCTATTAAATGTCATCCACTGAAAACAAATTAGAGGACATTAGATGACCCACAGTGTATTTAGGAATGCTCTTAGAGGATATGGAATATTGAATACATGTGGTAAAAAAGTTTTAAGGGTTAATGACTGCATTCTCCAGTTGGGACGAATCTGAATCCAAATCCATGTCGCGTTGACAGTACTTGTTACTGCGTTGTCGTGCACTTGAGTGAGGTACCTTTCTGGTGCAGGCCTTTCTTCTCGTAAAGAATGATGAGCTCGCTGTATTTATGCGCCTTCTTGAGGACGTACTCGCTCTCTTCGATGTGGCAGTGGTTGTTCTCCAAGCGCAGGAGGGGCGAAACCAAGGCCACGTTGGTCTGGCACACAAACAAAAACGCTTTACCTCAATGTTGTCCAAACTTTTTTTTGTTTCACCTCCAATTGGGTCGTGACACAAAATTCGTAGGACGCAAGAGGCACATTGGCACCTTTAATTTGACTCGAGATCCTCTTTCTCGCTACCACGGAGCCGTGCTGCATTGAGGCGACTAAAAGTCTGGATGCTTTAAATTTATTTCTTTATTTTTTTTTTAACTTTAAGAATTTTTTAATAGAAATTAGCGAGTAAAAATACGGTAGTTAGGTTCAATACATTTGAGTAAGGCTGTTTTGTTAAAAATAGCTAGCTAAAATGCTCCGGTGAAGAAAGAAAGCATGTCAAGTGCATACAGATTCATTTCTGCCTAATACACGCCTTAGTCAGCTCCTTGTTTTATGTATTGCATCACTCATGGATCTAAGACTTTGGAAAACCACCATGGGATGATGATGTAACCACAGTCATAGGCTAGGAAATGGAAATGGACGGCCAGCCGGTGGTTTGGACACCCTCGGCTTTGTGCGTTTCACCTCCCAAAGTGGAAGCAGGTGACTTCTTTGATTGCCTCACACAGTGTGCTGCTTGTTGTCTACATAATTAGATGCAGACTCCTGATGCGAGCCTCCGGTAGCCTCCGGCCCGTCTTCTCGGATTAGATCGGACTTTGTGGGGCTCTAAAGAGAAGCATCTGGCCCGTCAGAATACAAAGACGCGGCGGAGTCGCTTGGAGGGCGCTCAGTTAGACTTTGATTTTATCCCGTATTGAATTCCAGCGACACCTTGCTATTTTTAGTTGGGCACCTTTATCGTCTTTCCATTGCTGGGCTTAGACCTAACAATTTGTACTTACGTGCAGGTAGCACTTCAGCAGTGTGGTGTCGATGATCTGCAGCAGCTTCTTGCGGCTTTTGATGGTGGGCGTGCCCTCCATGAGCGGCGAAGTGGTGGACGGGTCCGAGTCGTTGAGCTGTTTCACCAGGTGGCTGCGTTTCTGCCACCACATCGAATGACAACCAGTCTGAACTGACAGATATTTTTCACAAAAATCCACATTTTTATTGATTTTTGCCTCCTTTCAGAGCGAGGAAAAACGACATTACATTATTTTTATTTATTTATGTTCAACATGGATCAATCACTGGGTATGTGGCAGTCATAAATGTGTATTCTGTGACTGCCTCCTCGCCAATACAAGCTCCTCTTAATTTGCAGCCACGTTGTTAATGGAAGCAGCGCACGTCAACGGTGGACACACGTTCAATTACGGAAGCCGTTAAAAAACACTGAACTTAGCACGACTGCTACTACCATCACACGCATACGCAAAAGACAAACCTGGGTGAGGTAATCGATGAGTGCCAGGTGAGCCTTTTCCAGCTCCACCCCGGACAGCGCCGGCAGAGGATTGGGGTAGTGCAGCTGCCTGCGGTAATCGGATGGCAGCAGGTCGGGGTACAGGCCGATCACATGAGTGGGATCTGCACAGAGCACATCCAAGAGGAAAGTCGGCCTTCGTCAAAACAAAGGTGTTCAAAGTCTGGCCTGGGGGGCTTTTGCGGCGCCTGTTTGCTCACGTGGCCTGAAACATATTTTAAAAATGACATTTAAACATGGCCCCCCAGAATTAATTAATGAAAAGTGACTACTTCCTACTTTGAGGATGGCGGACAGTGCGCCGGTGTGTGTCGCGATGCTCCTGTCTCTCCTTTCACAGGAGCACTTTGAAACGGTAATTCATGCCTTCGTCACATCTCGGCTGGATTATTGTAATGCACTTTACTTTGGAGTCAGCACATCCTCCATGAAGTGTCTCCAGTTGGTCCAGAATGCTGCTGCTGCTGCTGGCTTCCTCTACATTTTAGAGTTCCTTTTAAAGATCCTATTTGAAGATTTGTTTTCAAATCTTGAAATGGCCTGGCCCCACCTGACCTCTCTGAGCTCCTCCACCCTTGACGCACCTGCCTGGTGCCTCAAGTCTGCGGACCTGACACTATTGGAGGTACCGAGAACTAAGCGGCGGCTCGGAGGGGATCGGGTTTTTTTCCGTTGCTGGTCCCTCTCTTCGGAATGACCTCCCGCTAAACGTTCGGCAAGCACCCTCGCTGCCCATCTTTAAGACTCGTCTCAAAACTCAATTTTTATTCTTTGCAGCATGAGACTTGATTTTTAATTTCACTGTTTTTGTGCTTTCTACCGTCTTTGTTATTAATGTATTGGTTTATTGTTGTAGAAATGATTTTTGCTCCGTGTACAGCACTTTGTATACAGCGGTTGAGTGAAAAATCAAGATGTAATAAAATCCAAAATAAAAACAAGGTAGAGTGGGCCCCTCTTTTTTTTTTTTTTTTTTTTTTATGTGGCCGAGTGGAAAACCGCGTTAAGCGGCAAGTCCCACGTACCTGTGCCCAGTTTGGCAAAAACCTGCATGGAGTCGTCAAATCGCTTCTGGCAAAACAGATTGAAGGCGTACAAGTTTTGGATGTGATGGATCTGCTGTTTCTTGTCACCGTCCGAGTCGTCTTTCATCTTCTGGCAGGAAGGAGAAGGGGGAAAAAAAAACAAAACAACTGAATTCAAGCTGGTAGCAGTGATGAAGAGGTCAAAGCACCACTTTTCATGGCCAATCCTCAAAATGATCAAATTTTGAAGCAAGTGAAAACGCTTGGCAATTTAGTGGTGAGCATCTTTCATGGATACTTGCTTCCTATTGAGACTCATCTGGGCTAATTCCCTTAAAAGGAGTTCATCAAAGCATGAGCCCTGGAATCGAACCAAAATGTTCTGTTCTGGGCATGGGTCCTTGTTATTTTATTTTTTTTTTGTGCGTCCCATTATGACAGACAAGTTTACCAAATTTTGAGGCCAGGAGTAAAACTGTCATCTGGGCCTAATTCTTTTCTATCTTTCCAGTGGGCTCTCACAATCCCTTTTTAAATGCTTTTTTTTAAAATTTCTCTCACTGCCAGCTGAAGGGCCAGTTCAAACTGCTTGTCCTCGAGCAGCTGCCGGATCTGGGTGGCGATGGAGACGGGCACCAGGCGCCACACAAAATGGTTGCTAGCCACGTACACAACGTCTGGTCTAAGAAATGGCAAAAAAAGAAAAGGAAAAAAAAAAAGAAAAAAATAGAATTGGATTGTTGATGATGGTACTATGTTCTGGGCGGCTTTCTTTTCAGTGGTGCAACGTACCCAGCGGACGTGATGAAACGAGGTCTCTGCAGCTCAACGCTCTGCACCAGCAGCCGGGGCTCCAAGGTCCGGATTTCCACATAGCGGGGCAGCACCGCGATGATGTACGGAGGCTGGTGCTCTGGAGTTGTGGGTGTGCAAATACACTTTTGGTCAGCGGCTAACACATACCGGTCAAACACGATAGGGCAAAGCAAAACAGTGGAAACTCAATTGTCGGTTACATCTAAGTACTTTTTTTCATGGACTAAAATCACCCAAGAAAGGACAAAATTCTTGTCTCTGTCTATTTATGTAGCCAATTCTGGAACCATCAGACTTAATCAGCTCCTTCCAAAGAGGCAGTATGAGAGGACTCGACATTATTTCCTGAATCCGAAGCTCTCTGTGGTTCCAGGTTTGTTAAATCAATGTTCTATGGTACATTCTTGATCCCCTGCGATAAAACGACGGCTATTACTGCATGGTCACAGAACAAATTCAACTTTAATCACCAAGTACCACTTTATGTGAAAGCGATGCAAGATTTTGGCACTTTTTACATTTGAAACTCATGTGCCCGACTGGGTCCTTGGGTTCCGAGTGTACTGATGTGTTCTCACCCATCGCTATGGGGATATCGGTCCAATTCAGGGCGCACTTCTGGGTGCAAATGCCCTCCTCGTTGAGCACGACGGTGAGGTGGTCCTGCCCAACGGCGACCTTGCCGTCGGCCAGCGGGGTGACCAGCGGCTCCAGCTGTTTGCCAGTAGGAAAGAGCTCCTTAATGGTCCCCCGTCCGTCCATCTGGAGACAGCCATGTCACTTAATAACGCACAGGGACACTGGGGCTGCGGGAGTCATGGATTTTGGGCCATTCATTTGAGTTTGATTTGTCAGAATTGTTTTTTTTTTTATTTATTGTCGAGTGGCTTCGGTAGCTTTGAAGAGCTTCTCAATTGAGTCACTGTTGCCACGTAAGGAATTTGGTCAAAGGGCTGATCCCGATTCAGATATTTGCAACGGTAAAAAAGGGCCCAAACAATTCATCAGCAATCAATTTAATAGTCAATGACAGGGGAAAAATAGAAACAGTTTGAAAACGTTTTGGTTTCTGGAGTAATTTTTTTTTAAATCATTTTTGAATGACGTCACTGTTTTTTCAATAAGCGAAGGAGCATTAAAAAAAAAAAAAAGGAGCATGATTTTTATGAAAAAAAAAATGTAGAGATTTTATTGGGATTTTTCCCAGCCCGAATGGATACAATGGAAACAAGTTTAAGTATGCATACCCGAATGAGGTAATAGTCTCTTTTGAAGCCGACACAGATGGAGTTCTCGCACCAGGCCATAGACTTTGGAATATCCGGAGCACCAAACTCACCCTCACAGATGCAAAAAATAAATAAATAAAAAGACAGGTTGGAAAAGAATCGAAAGCCGACTGCTGAGATGTTTCATGTTCTACCTGCAGCTCATGGAACTCTCGATCCTTCCAGTAGTACATCTGCAGCTTCTTCTTCACAGCAACACACATTCTCAGCGTCTCTTCTCCCGAGCTACTTTGCTGGAAACCAAAAGGATCCCACAGAATAATAGGTCATTGTAAAAAAATAAATAAATAAATAAAAAAATTGGTGTAAAAAGTTTAATCTGTCTAATGCGGAAAATCCCTCTCCGCTTTATTGTGGAACTCTGCAGTTGATTGTCACTGTGAAGTGTGGCCACAATTTCAAATCCCCAGAAGTTTCATAACTGCAAACTCCCATTTTGAGTGGGAGTTTTACCAACCTGGAGGTCGCATACAAAGAGCGTGGCTCCCTTGGCTTTGGACACCACGGTGATCTGCTGGAACGTCAGCAGGTCGTGGACGTGGATGTTGTTCTCTGTGGGGAAAATGTCGACAAAGCAAGAATGATGAGTCATCAAAACTACACAGGGAGAAATTCAAAATGGAAGGTCGGCGTGGGTGTCTTACCCAGAAGACTGACAAGTATTTTGTACTGTGAGACGACGTAGAGCTGTGAAAGGGACGGACAGGATGCAAATGAAGATCGAGTATTGGCCTACATGCTGAAGCTCATCACTTACCTGCTGGATCTTCTTGGAAAAGTTTTTGTTGGATTTCTCAAGCGTGACTTCGAAGAGATTGGTGGCTAGGAGGAGAAATTATTGCAATCACATAAGTATTTGTTGAAGGAGAAATCAACTTTTTAATTTTTTTTAAGTATTGTATGCTGGTAGGGGGGTTAAAAAAAGTTGATCAATATGACAACGGTGAATAGCCTTTGTTTTATGGCAACGGCTCTGGTTGTCATGGTAATGAAGACAGTTGGGAACTGTTCCAAATTGTGGGGGGAAAAAAAAAATTCTTACATTGTATCCAAATTTAATAACCATTCCTATTCCCACCTGGATCCTTTTTAATCCGGTACAAAAGGAGATGTCCAGGCTTGGTACCGACAAGCAGCCAGTCCTCTGTGGGAAGAAAGCAATGCCACTTTGGTCATTTCACTGGCGTGGTACGGCACTTTCCAGGAAATTCATTTCTTTTGAGTGAAATTTCCAGCCTCTACAGCACAGGTAAATTATCCATAGGAGTGAGATGATTTTTTTTTACTTTGTTTTTCTTAAATTTAGTTCGTTTCAATTAGCTTTTAAAGCAGGTTTGTTCGTTTTATCATGGCTGTCACTCGCGCCCTTTTTCGGAATCAATTACTGTATCATAATTGTTGTCGATTAAATCTGGAACAATTTTATTTTACTATACCCTACGGTCCTCATTGAGGTGAACAGGTAGTAGAAGTGCACATAACGTTCAAGAGCGCAGGTTACAAAGCATGTGAAAATTGCAGAATTGAGACAGTGAGGGTGGCTATGCTTCCACTATTTGAAACATAGCTCCAGCTCACCCAGAACCCTTAAATACAATCAAGCACCATTTGTTTGGAGTGGTTGAGGGGTTAAAACTCACCCCAGGCCGCCATACAGTCAATCTGGAGAGGGAGCTTCTCCAAAATCGGCACCGGCTCGTAGGCGTCGTGCATCTTGACTCACAGCGGGTCGCCCCGGTGGTTCCAAGCCGGAATTAAGGCGAGGTTCGATGGCCGAGTGCTCCACTGAGTGGCCGCTGGTCACGGTGGTAGTGGTGGCGGAGCCTTCATGAACCAACCTGGGTAGTTTAGCCTTCACGAACACACCGGAGTCGTTTTTGAATGTTCACAACGCACGCTAAAAAAGACAAAACAACAAGGCAGAATTTCTTTTGAGAGTCAAACTATGTGCAAAATCAAAACAACTGCTAGCTCCCTAGCTAGGAAGTTGCGAAAATCCCAGCGCCTCGTTCCACACAAACTGGAACATTAAGTCCAGCCACGAACTTATGTCCACAACTACAATCACGAGTGAAAATCCTGTCAATAATGTCAATAAAAAAGAACTAGACTAATGTTGTTGTTAGCAGGCTAGTTAGCCACGTTAGCTCGAAGCTACTTCCTCCTGACTTCAGCTGACTGGAAGCAGCACGTGACTTGCGTCACAACTCGCTCACGAGGAGCGAAATAAAGACGCATTCTGTACACATGAGCTGGTTTTGACACCAATATGGTATCAATTTTGAAAGTACATTTTAAAGTAACAGCAAATCTTAAAATTTTGCTTACTTAGTGCTTTCTTTAGTTGTGTCAATAAAAGCAAGCTTTTTAATATAGTATCGCGATTAGCAACGGAAACCGTTTAGTCCAAAAATAGTGAAACAAACGATTGCCAAGTATAATTACTTTGACGAAATTTTCGTTTATGTTTTATCATAAATTTTGAAATCACCCCCCCCCCCCATAAAAAGTCAAAATGTTAAATGCAATCTTTTCCTTTCAGACTGTTGCATCTTTGGCGCGATTTGCTGAGCATAAGAAGGCAACGCATTAGCGTATTTTATACACAAGAGTTGCTTCACATGGGAAAAAATTAATTGTTTCTAACTTGGATTTAAAATAATTATACTTGGGGTAACTTCACTTCTATTGTCAGTTTACTCCATTTGCGTGCAGCAATGCATCATGTTTGCTTTGAACTTTGGGCTCCACTTATTGACCCGTCTGCTGACCTAGTACTCTAATGGGTTTATATTCTCAGAACATTTCCTTCATGTATTCAGGACCTAAGCCATTCGGTGATTTATAGACCAAAAGCCAAATTTTGAAATCTATTCTACAGACAAGAGCAAGTGGTTGTAAAACCGATGATACACGAGCCGCAACTTGTGGGGGCTGCAAAATAATTTGCAGTGACTTATGTTGTATATTTATAGTTGATATAGTGAACCCCCGCATATTCGCCGTTAGAAATTCTCAAATTTACTGATTTATTTATTTTTGGGGGTTGTGGGGGGGGTACTATATTCTGACCTGTTTTTTATGCTCAAGGCAAAGCCACGTTTGATATAAAAACATTTCTTCTGGCGAAATTTCTGTGCCAAGCAACTACCGTATGTTGAATTTATGGGGAGGAGCTTCATTTAGTCAGGCCAGAGTTTTAACTAAAATACAAAAAGTGTTTTGCCACTGTCTTGCAGCAACTACAGGCAATTACAAACCTTTTCAGGTGGCCGTCATTCACTTACAGATTTTCTCTAAATACTGTAACTGCACATGGGGGTCGCCCAAGAAAACAAGGATAAATCAGTGTTTCCCCCCGTAATTTGCATTTTTTAACCTACCCTCTGTTATTTGCTGAAATACTGACATATGTATCCACTGTACTGTATTTGATTTTTTTTAAATACCCAAGATGATCCCCTTGTTGAAAAGTAATAGTTTGACCCCATCTTGTGGCATCGATATGTAATTAAACTTTTTAGGGGGACGCGTCAATTACTCTTCGCTCTTCAACTAGAAGGGGATTATTGTGTATCAACAGCTCCTGCTTTTCTTATATTTGGACCATTGACAAGCTCTAATAACATTACATAACATGTACTGTACTTTGTCAGAAAAAGTTTACACTACGGGAACATTATACATCCTTGAATCATTAATTCTGTGATGTTTTTTTATATACCACTCGAGGGAGTCCAAGGTAAAGATTTGTCAAAATCCAAAGTACACAATTAACATCACTCAGCACAAGTGAGACAATTTCGTCCGGAATGTGAAGAGAATTCAGAACAGCGCTACAATTTACAATTAATTCCACAACCCACGAAGGAGAGTTAAAAATGGACTCACACCTTCACCACTCTTTCAATAAAAACTTTATTAGCTGGACATTTACTGCTTGACATTACACAGAGCGGCATCCAGAAAGTTACAAGATTTTAGACAAAAATATATGATTTGAACAAGGACGAGTAAGCATAAATTAAGTCATTTGTGATACACACGCATAGACACGTCAGTAGATTGCACAGTGATGTGATTGGGTCAGACACAGAACAGAAAATGATGATTCTTATTTATTTTCCTCTACTGAAATTCTAGGTGATTCATGGGACAGTAGAGGATAGGCAAGAATAAGCTTGGTGCTTCGGCGATTCCTTTTTTTTGGGGGGGGGGAGGGGTAACTGAGGTTTTGAAAAGATTTTTTCTGTACTATTTATCCAACCAAAAAAATTAACTACTCATTCATTCATTAATTCAAAACCTCAATGTCATACTTCAGAATAATGTTGAGGTGCGAAATTAAAAACACTGTATGCGGTACATCTGGATTTGAGTACCTTTAGATCCTTTCTCAAAAGATAGAACACGTGAAACAAATTTTACTTTTCTTTTTTTTTGTGAGAGTGTGAGTGCGGTAGTGCTTACTATGTCATGAAAAGCCATGATAGCCACTCATTTGATATCGTTGACATCCATTTTCAGGTCCACGTACTAGTACGCAAATTTGTGCACTGGTCAAAAACTGCATGCTACTAGTACTAGTAGTGACGCCAAAAAGTTCTACTAATTAACCTTCAACGTTTCACTGGTACTACTCGTCGTGTTCTTATTTCTGGAGACAAAAGAGCATACTAGTACACGGACATTGGCTGGATATCAAATAAACGGCTGACATTCTCTCGAGGGAGCATTGGTGGATAAGATTGCCCTCTGATTTCATTGATATGCTTCAAGTATGCAAAGACAGTAGCTGATTACTTGTGTGTACTCTAGTGCAGGTCTCGATGTATTTACTTATTGAAACATTGCTTCCTTCAGTTAGCCCGTATCAAATATTTATAAAATGGCGGGAAACATCATTGGCTCATTTGCACTGGATATACAGTCATCGAATCTTATGTGTTTTCCCCTCCACCTTATTTATTTTTTTGGGGTAGGGGATGGTTGGAACGTGGGTGACGACTGTAGGGCCAAGTCACGTGCGCAACGACACATTCCAGATGGCTCTGCCCCGCCCCCACGCCGCTTTGGGTCACTTTGGAGAGTTACCCATGTCCTCCGGTAGTCACTCCATTTTGGATCGCTCCATCTTGGTTTTCAGAATTTCCTGCAAGAACAACTCGGAGGGGTGAGTGATGTCAACGCAGGGAAATAACGGGAGCAGAGAGGGAATTCTGGGATGCTCATTACCTCCTCCTCATCCAGCATTGCGGGGAGAGCTCTGCAGACAGAACGAGCGAAAATCAAAAGGCAGCCACTTTGTTCGGTATTCACTCACCGATACCTCTCGTACTTTCGATATTTAAATTGTCATTTATCAAAATCACAAAAAAAAACTTGTGGACAGAGACCAATCTTTCTGGCGCAGGTGATGGTTCGCTGATGTATCAAATTGCCATAGCATAGCGCCACCTACCCCAAAGGAGGACTTACTCAATGTCAGATTAATTCTTTTTTTTTGTCTTAACCATCAATGAATGATAACAGCAGCCTTCATACCAATACCTGGTATCGGTACTTGCCATTTGGGGTTTAAACTATTAATATAGGCAATTAAATATGTTTTTGGGAGGGGTGTGGGGGGGCATCTATTACTCTGTTTTTCTATTAGGGTCACTAAAAAGTCACTTTCCCACAATCAAGGGCTTGCACGGTGCATGTAACTTACACATCAGCAACCGTTGTTGGGATGTTCTCCTCAACCCATTTCAGGTCTTCATCCTAGTGTTGAAAACACAACCCCCCCCCAAAAAAGTTAAAAAAACAGATGAAAAATGTGCCATATACATCTTGATATATATAGCGCTTTCACAACAGCTGCATGACAGTACCTCTTTACTCAAGAGCTTCTGAGAGCCGTTGGCATCCGGTTTGGATCCTCTCATTTTCATCCCCTCTTTGAACAGTCAGGAAAAAAAAAAAAAAAAAAAAAAAAAAGCAAATAAAATTTTCAATTGAACGACTCAAATAAATACACTTGTCCACCACAAGCGAATGGATTGCGATGCACCTGTGTATCGCGTAGCTCTTACCAAAGGCTTCGTTCAACATGGGCTCTTTGACGTCCTCCTCGTCTTCATCCTCATCGTCGATCAGAGGCGAGTGGGAGAACCTGCGGAGAAGGAAACGCAACAAAAAGGCACAATGATGATGATGATGATGATGATGATGATGATATTTCGTCCGATCGTGAGGAACGGAGATGTCGCCGACTGGGACCTCTGGTTGTTGGCGGAGGGCCGCAGCAGCACCATGATGACGAGCAGGATAGTGGAGAAGAGCAGACGCCAAAAGGCGTCGTCCACCCATAAATCCCTCCAACTCTGGAAGGCGACAGATTATTTGCGATGCTAGAATGTTACCAAAAAAAAAAAAACAGTTTGGAGAACTAATAACAGTTTGGAGAACTAATACACACCTTCTGGCAGTCCACCAACTTGAAGACTTTTGTGGTCCAGATAATGAAAATGATGGAGGCTGGGGACACATAAGGACAGAAGCGGGTGAGACACGAAAGCGTTCAACAAATTTTTAATCTTTAAATATTTTTCCAGAGTGTTTGTATTGCTGGCAAATGTCAACGCGGGTCGTGCCTCACCCAGCATCGAAAAGATGAGCGTGTTGGTGAAGTGCTGGTACAGGGAGAGCTTGACCACATTCCGGCGCAGCTTCAGCAGACGAGTGGTTTGCGACAGGCTGATGAAGATGTGGATGGACGAAAGTTAAGGAGGACATTGGGGGAGGAAAAAAACAAAAACGAAACAGCATCAATATTCATGTTGAGCGTGGACCCGCTCTTGGGGGTTGATGGGAGGATATCCACCACATGACACAGGAGTCAATGAGGGAGAGACTGAGGTTGGCAACCAGAGCCACCGTGCCGTAGAAACCCTGGAGAGAGAAGATCATTTTGTACCAACAAGACTAAAATACACACAAAAAATAAATAAAAAGGAGACATTATCAGCAGCTAATGTGAATTTATGCAGCCAACAACACCGCAGCTCTGCTCAAATTTTGACATGCTGAATTAAAATGTAGTCCAGCCATCACTTGCCAGAAAAGAAACCAATACATCCCAAGGAGAGGAACCAAAAGCTGCTCCTTTTGACGTAGATAATAACACAATTTGAAAATAAAAATAAGGAATTCCGATTTGATAGTT